CTCTGTAGATTTAAAAGTGTTAGAGAGGTTATCGTTTATCTCAGGCCACACAGTCTAGGAAGTAAGAAACTAGGTTTAAACCTAGGTCTGTCCCCACACGAAACATCTAGAAGTAGCCTGATTAGTCATCTTACCGACACTGTGTCTTACAGCAGTTATTCCATCCTTTGGACTCTGCTTCCATTTTTACGGTTTTGAAACCGTTTCTACTCCTGGGACCTGAGTTTCTGTCTCCTCGCCTTCTGCCTGGTAAAACCCACAGACTGGTACAGCTGGTTGCACCATAGCGCCTGCAGAGGCTGCTCACTCAGGCTGTATGTGAAGCAGCAGAGATGGTCTGAGGTCAGGCAGCGTAGGAGTCCCACAGCCAGGATTTGAGCCTGGAGTTTTCCTTACTTTCCCATTGGTTCTTCATGGTAGCATCGTTTCCTCTTCAAGCCTTCTTGTCTCTGTGAGTCTTGGTGTCGGGGCAGACATGAGAGCAAGGAAACTTGGGTTCAGATTATAATTCTTCCACCTGTAGGAGCTTTAGAACTTTGGGCCAGATATTTAACCTTTTTGTGCCTTGATTTCCTCATCTGACAAATGGGGATTATAGTAGTACCTACCGCTTAGGGCTGTGATGAGGGTTAAATGGGCTGTTATTTGGAAAGCACTGAGAATGGTGCCTGGAACAGAGATTGTTAGCGATAGTGATAATTATTATCACTATTATTAGTGATAGAGGTAGGAAGGAAGGATGAGGCCCGACTGGGCGCCTTGAGTGCTGAGGGTTGCAGTGAAGAACCTCTGGGGTTGGAGAGTTGGGAGCAGGACACCTATCAGAAAAGTCCAGTGTTTGACTTCACCTTCCAATGCAGAGGGATCCCTGGTCGGTGAGTTAAGATCCCAAGTGCCTCACAGCCAAAAAACCCAAAACATAAACAGCAGAAGTAACAGTGTAACAGATTCAATAAAGACTTTACAAATGGGGTGGTGTGGGAGGCCCTTAACTGCCACCTTTCACCCACCTGTGAAATTGTGAGATGCACTGCTTCTCACCCTTGAGTGGCGTGGTTTGTGTTTCTTTAAACCTCTGGAGGGCTTAGATCCCTGTGATTAGCTGCTGGTGTGTGTGTGTGTGTATGTGTGTCTGGAGGGCTTAGATCCCTGTGATTAGCTGCTGCTGGTGTGTGTGTGTATGTGTGTGTGTGTGTGTGTCTGGAGGGCTTAGATCCCTGTGATTAGCTGCTGCTGGTGTATGTGTGTGTGTGTGTGTATGTGTCTGGAGGGCTTAGATCCCTGTGATTAGCTGCTGCTGGGGTGTGTGTGTGTGTGTGTGTGTGTGTCTGGAGGGCTTAGATCCCTGTGATTAGCTGCTGCTGGGGTGTGTGTGTGTGTGTGTGTCTGTGTGTGTCTGGAGGGCTTAGATCCCTGTGATTAGCTGCTGCTGGTGTGTGTGTGTGTGTGTGTGTCTGGAGGGCTTAGATCCCTGTGATTAGCTGCTGCTGGTGTGTGTGTGTGTGTGTGTGTCTGGAGGGCTTAGATCCCTGTGATTAGCTGCTGCTGGGGTGTGTGTGTGTGTGTGTGTGTGTGTGTGTGTGTGTGTCTGGAGGGCTTAGATCCCTGTGATTAGCTGCTGCTGGTGTGTGTGTGTGTGTGTATGTGTCTGGAGGGCTTAGATCCCTGTGATTAGCTGCTGCTGGTGTGTGTGTGTGTGTGTGTGTGTGTGTGTCTGGAGGGCTTAGATCCCTGTGATTAGCTGCTGCTGGTGTGTGTGTGTGTGTGTGTGTGTGTGTGTGTGTGTCTGGAGGGCTTAGATCCCTGTGATTAGCTGCTGCTGGGGGGTGTGTGTGTGTGTGTGTCTGGAGGGCTTAGATCCCTGTGATTAGCTGCTGCTGGGGTGTGTGTGTGTGTGTGTGTGTGTGTGTCTGGAGGGCTTAGATCCCTGTGATTAGCTGCTGCTGGTGTGTGTGTGTGTCTGGAGGGCTTAGATCCCTGTGATTAGCTGCTGCTGGTGTGTGTGTGTGTGTGTGTGTGTGTGTGTCTGGAGGGCTTAGATCCCTGTGATTAGCTGCTGCTGGTGTGTGTGTGTGTCTGGAGGGCTTAGATCCCTGTGATTAGCTGCTGCTGGTGTGTGTGTGTGTGTGTGTGTCTGGAGGGCTTAGATCCCTGTGATTAGCTGCTGCTGGTGTGTGTGTGTGTGTCTGGAGGGCTTAGATCCCTGTGATTAGCTGCTGCGGTGTGTGTGTGTGTGTGTGTGTGTGTGTGTGTGTGTGTGTGTGTGTGTGTGTGTGTGTGTGTGTGTGTGTGTGTGTGTGTGTGTGTGTGTGTGTGTGTGTGTGTGTGTAGCTTCTACTCACAGTGTCCTGAGCTTGGTAGACGTCCAGATAGATATTAGTAATTCTTTTTTCCCTCTGAAAAAATTGAACCTGGGCCTGAGCCGTGAAAGCACCGAGTCCTAACCACTGGACCTCCAGGGAACTCCCCAGATGTTAGTTGTTAAATGTAACAGAACAGTTTCAAAGAAATATTTTCTGCCAGGAAAACTACCTGAACTGTAACTACCTGAACCAGCTGATTTGTTCCTGCTGACATTGTCTTATATAATTAGTCTGGCTTCCCTCCAAAGAAAGATGAATATTTTTCCCCCCAATTTCATTTTGTGTAATATATGTACATTCAGCATATTTGTTGACTTGAAATGCATACCTGAGTATACATAAACAGCCACGTGCATGTGGGCAGAGGATGCTTGATTCCCACAGCCTTTCTAGAAGGAATTCAGCTGGGAAGGCAGTGGGAGCAACTGGTGGAGTTATGCATTTGTATGGAGACTGATTTCCGGGGTTCGTGAGCCTGTTCCTCTGGCTTTAATAGTCATACTGGCCTGAAATTCCAAGTATAGGGTGGACTCCTTGCAGACAGGGACATAACTGTCACTGTTAATTTATGTATAAGCGATGCTTTACTGAACTGTCACCCCATGATGTTCAGCATCAGACCTGGTAGATTCTGCTTCATGGTTGTCTGAATTTGGGTAGTTTATCTCTTGAAGTCTCAGTTTTCTCATCTGTAACGTGAGGACAGTACACACCATATAAATTTGTTGTGTTGAAAAAATGACACATCAGATGCCTGGTGTATCATAGATTCTTGGTTAGTCAGTACTTTTTCCCATCCTTAGATTACACACCAGTGAGAGACTTTTCGTCATAAAGGAAAGCCTTTAAAGAGGCTCCTGGGGGGAAAGGGACTTCCCTGGTGGCTCAGATGGAGAAGAATCTGCCTGCAATGCCAGGAGACCCAGGTTCGATCCCTGGGTTGGGAAGATCCCCTGGAGAAGGGAATGGCTACTCTCTCCAGTGTTCTTGCTTTGGAGAATCCCATGGACAGAGGGGCCTGATGGGCTGCAGTCCACGGGGTCACAGAGTCGGACTCGACTAAGCAGCTAACACACACACGGTGGGGGCGGGGGGAGGGGGCGTATGTAGGATATTGATTTACTTCTCCCGTTGGTCGCACAGGGGAAAAAAATGAGTGTTTTCTCTTTCAAAGACAGCAGAAAGCTTAGTTTGCTCTGCCAGGTGGGAAGCCTCTGTTGGCTGCGCCTGTGGTCTGGGGAGTGGCATCAGAGACCCTCCAGCTCATCCAGAAGCCAGGAGGGGCTCTGGGTGTGGGTGGTCCCTGGGTGCCTGGCCCTCAGGTGCCTGCAGTTCCGTAGGCAGCGCGCCAGGGGGCGCAGCTCACACAGAAACACCAACTCCAGTTTCTTTTCTCATCAGAAAGATATTTATGGAAGAAATGATGATGTTAAGAACATAGTTCCAGCCAGCTGAGATCAGTGCCTGAAGGTGGAGCAAAAGTGTGTTTTGATGACTACCTTCTGCATCTTGGAAATGCATATTATTGTGAGGCTGAAAACCCCAGGGAAGATCTGATTTTCCAGGAATGCCTCCCTGCGGGAACAGTGCTCACACCTTCCCAGTCTAGACGCCAGTGGAGCGCCCTGGGTGGCAGGTAGCTAGGTGCCTGATGTCACAACTCGTGCAGTCTCTGCCCCTCTGGGCAGTGGGCACCGTGGTCTCTGGCCCCGGCATTGCATCATCCCTGTGCAAACCAGGCGATTTCTTTGAAGTTCTCTTTGCATTACAGGAAAGAATGGGCATCTCAGAGCAAAAGTTATTTTCTCCGCCTTGAATTGCTTCACAATAGTAAAGTGAAATCAGGTCGCCTGTTTGGTGCTTGCTCAGTCGCTTCAGTTGTGTCCGACTCTTTGCCATTTTATGGACCATGCCCTGCCAGGCTCTGTCCATGGGGCGCTGGGGCCTCAGTCCAGTTCCTGCCGGGCAACCTGTGGAAGTGACTTTTTCCCTTCTGGGTTTCCAGATCCAGGGTGGCTCAGGAGCCTTCCCACTGGACGCTAGGCCTCGTCGCAAGCTCCTTGAGCTTTCATTCTTTAATTTGTTCAAGTTGAACAAATTAGTGTATATTGAGATTTTCAAAGACTGTTAATGCCAAACATTATGCTGCCAGCATGGTGGCAGCTGGAATACAAACTTAACCTGTTATCCGGTAGGGGAACCGGGGCGTCCCAGGTGGCTCAGTGGTAAAGCACCTGCCTGCCGATGCAGGAGACAAGGAGACGCGGGTTCAATCCCTGGGTCGGGAAGATCCCCTGGAGAAGGTAATGGCCACTCACTCCAGTATTCTTGCCTGGAGAAATCTCATGGACAGAGGAGCCTGGTGGGCTACAGTCCATGGGGTTGCAGACAATCAGACATGACTGATGGACTGAACAACAGCAGGGGAACCGATTGATATTTGCAAATAGCACTTGTGAAAAATGAGTTAGAGTTTTGCGAAGTGTGGAAGATTGCTGTCAGAGCTTGGGGGAAGGAGGGGGTTCCTTTCAGGAGGGGAAGCATGTATGTCAGGCAGGAAGAGTTGAGATCCCTGCCGGCGCCCCGTCCTCAGGAGGAGGGCTCTGATCTGACTTCCTGCTGCCTGTGTCTCCTTAGGTCATGACTGCTGCGAGACGGTGAAGGTGCTGCTCTGCGCTTCCAAAGAGGGCCTGCCCGTGTTCGTGGTGGCGGAAGAGGACTTCCAGTTCGTCCAGGACGAGGCCTACGACGCAGCCCAGTTCCTGGCCACCAGCGCCGGCAACCAGCAGGCCCTGAACTTCACCCGTTTCCTGGATCGCTCAGGACCCCCGCCCACGGACGTGAACTCCCTTGATGAGAAAGTCGCCCTGGCCTTCAGGCACCTGAAGCTGCCAGCAGAGTGGAATGTGTTGGGGACAGACGCAGCCTCACACGGTAAGGACCTCGGATGACCCGCAGCCTTTGAGCTTGGGGTTCGCTGTTTTTGGCTGGGGCTGCTTTCCTGTGGGGATGATCTCCCGTCTCCCATGGTGGCTGCGTAGACTGTGCCGTTACAGGAGCGGTGTGGCCTCTGGCCTCCTGGGTTCTCCTGCTGAGCTGTCAGGCCTGTTCTTGCCGTGAGACGACCCCGCACAGCGCTCACCCGCAGCGGCAGCTGTCAGAGGGCGGCTCGTTGGCCTTCCGTGGCCCGGACTTCACGCCTGATCTCCCGTGTGTGAGCAAGGCCTGTCCTTCGTGAGGAGGGCAGCAGAGGAACGTGTGACGCTCCGTGCTAAAGATCAAAGACAGGATTTTCATTAGTGTACTCTCAAGGTCTCTAGCGAGTCCACGAGGTTGGAAGAAGGAAAAGGCGGGAGTCATCAGGAGTGGCGCGCAGGGGAGCGAACCGAGACCTGGGACGCTCTCCCCAGGTTTCTAACCAGAGCGTGCTCACTCTGGTTTATTTCATCTGCTCTCTCTCCCCGTTAGAGTTCATGGAAGGCAGGGCTCCACCTTTTAAAAAGCAGTGATGTAGTAGGTATCTATGTATGTTCTTCTTTTTCTCATGGGGATTTCCTGTGTCATTATTCTTGTGGTAAATGACACCTATTAGATGTTGTGAATGTGTGTGTCTGTACACTCACACACACACATCTGATGAAGCAGCATATACCTGGAGTCCAGGTATAAAGACGAACAGCGCCGTCTTTCCCTCCTGAGTGCAGATCTAATGGAGTGATTTAGGAGTTACACAGAGATCAGAGTGTTTCCTCTGTTCCTGACAGAAACTGAATGGAAAGGCTGACTTCAGTCGGCTTGCCGGAAGGGGTTGCTTATCCTCTAGACTCTTATCTCTGGAAGAACAGGACAGTCATAGGACCGCCCTGCAGTGTTCTCGACTTTGGCTATTGCCTTATGAAGGGGTCACTCAGAAGGCCCTGGCCCTCCCGCAGGCAGGTAGCCTCTGACTGAGGAGGAGCGCTCAGCAGGGCTGAACGGGAGGGCGCTCAGGTCCCCACTCTCTAGACCCGTCAGATAGCTGTGGTGTTCTCATGGAAGAAGGGAGCGAGGTTTTGCTAGCTTTGGTTCTCTTAGACTCACTGAATTCAACCATTGGGGCAATGACCAGCTGCAGGAAGGGGCCCCCACTATCAGGGGCTTCCTGTCAAGATAGGACGGGGCACTCCTGGCAGGTAAAATACAAAAGGAACCTTGGATACGCAAATGAAGGGAAAACGCATTTATCCTTTTCCTTTTTAGCAGTGTCTAAGAAACCTCTGCATTACTGAGGTCTAGAGATCAGAAGATTTGCCGTTATACAGGACAGTGGGCACTTTCCCAGAAACCTGGTGTTCCGATCCGACATGTCTAGCGCCTGCTTTCCCCCCCTCCAGTGTTGATTCGTTTGTTGGTTGATTGATGGCTCTGGGTCTTCATCGTTTTCTGTGGCCTTTCCCTCCTCGCGATGAGGGGCTCCTCTTCGCTGTGCTGTGTGGGCGTCTCTGCGGGGGCTGCGCTCACTGCAGTGGCGTCTCTCACTGCAGAGCACAGGCTCCAGCTAAGCTTCAGTCGTTGCAGCATACAGGCTCCGTGGTCGTGGCTCACGGGATCAGGGATCGAACCTCTGACCCCTGCATTGGCAGGAGGATTCTTATCCACTGCTCCACCAGGGAAGTCCACTCCTGCTGTTTCTGTGTTGTGATTGGAATGATTATTCTGGTTGCCATTCATCAATCAGTATCAAGAAGGGTTGCGTGAGTTATTTACGGGGCTAAAAGTTGTTTTGTGTGGTTTTGCTTTGTCTTGTTTAAAGAAGGCACAGGAATTGGATAGTTTGTTCATGTCACCTGGTTAAAAAGAACTGTAGGAAAAGCACAGGTCTGAGATGTTAGACATATCCTGCCCTTCTCTGGGCCTTAGCATCTCTGTCTTTAATAGGAAGCTTGCCAGATTTAATATTTTTATGGACTTTCCATGTACTTCTTAAGTTTCTTTTGTACAGGAAGGCTAACTCAAATTTGGACACTTAAGGAAATGCCTGAAAACCACAATAAGGCACTGTTACACATTTTTAGGAAGGCCAAAATAAAAAATACCAGGCACTGGCAGAGGATGCAAAACAATGTATCTCATACCTTGCTGGAATAGAGCCACCCCAGGAAACAGTTTGGCAGTCTCCTATAAAATTTAATTTATTATGTGGCCTAGCATTCCCACTTTTTGCTTTTTGTCCTAGAAAAATGAAAAGTTACATTTACTTAAAGAAACCTTTGCCCTAATGTACCTATAGCAGCATTATTTATAATCACCCCAAGCTAGAAACAACCCATATCTCCCTCACTACAATGGAATACTACTCAGCAATAGAAAGGAACAATCTGTTGACATGTGCAAGAACCTGAATGCATTTTAAATGTTTTGCACTAAGAAGTCAGTTTCCAAAGTTACTATGCGACTCAAGTTTATATGATACTCTAGAAAGGGCCCTGGAGAAGGGAAGAGTCCCAGAAGAGTCAACTGAACAATAGACAAAGCATCAATAACAGGTCCTTGCTTATTGTTGGGTGGAGGTGGGTTTAGTCGTTCAGTGGTGTCCAGCTCTTTCTGATCCTGTGGACTGTAGCCCACCAGGCTCCTCTGTCCATGGGATTTCCCAGGCAAGAACACTGGAGTGGTTGCCATTCACTGCTCCAGGGGATCTTCCTGACCCAGGGATTGAACCTGGGTCTTCTGCACATCTCCTGCGTTGCAGGAGGATTCTCTACTGCTTGAGCCACCAGGGAAGGGGGAGAAATGCAAAGAAACAGTCTGCTTAGGGCAGAGAGTTGCACATCAGATGCTTTTTGAAAGATGTTTAAAGGAAGAAGGTAAGTTAGCCTGGTGCCTGGGGTAGTCACGCAGCTAAATAGAGCACTTGTTACATAACTGGACTGTTTCCTGTTGAAAGCTGGGTGTTTACAGGTGTTCCAGCCTAATACTTGTACAAAGGAGTCAGGGAAGATTTATGGTTAATCCTCCCTCTCTAATTGTTTAGATGCAGTGCTTTTTAACTTTTTTTCCTCAGGTCACTAACTCCTTTGGAAATAGCTTCGATTTCTCTGGAGGGAAAAATACACATAGGAACCTACCTGCAAAATTTTACATATTGTTTCAGGAGTCAATCTCCCTGAACCACAGGCGTGAACCTGACATTAAGAACTCTTGGTTTTAGCAGGGAACTCAAACCGGGACTCTGTAACAACCTAGAGGGGTGGGGTGGGGAGGGAGGTTCAAGAGAGAGGGGACATATGTATACCTATGGCTGATTCATGTTGGTGTTTGGCAGAAACCAACACAATAGTGTAAAGCAATTATCCTTCAATTTAAAATAAATTAAAAACAATAAAAGAACTCTTGGCTTAGGCTTGATATCATAAAGTGGAAAAAGCATAGGCTGCAGGGTCAATTTGTTAATATCCTGTCTTCATTGCAAGAGTTTGTGTAGAATACTTAATCTGTTTCTCAATTTCTTCATCTCTAAAATGGAGGAAAAAATATCCTGGAGTGTGTGCTAGTTTGCAGGCTTTTTAAAAATTTATTATTAAAAAAAATTTTTTTTTTTTTAAATTTTGGCTATGCTGGGCTCCCTAGCTGTGGCATCTGGGCTCTAAAGCACGCAGGTTTGGTAGTTGCGATATGCAGGCTTCTGCAGTTGCAGCGCATGGGGTTAGTTCCCCGGCGGCATATAGGATCTTAGTTCCCCGACTGGGGATCGAATTCATGTCCCCTGCATTGCAGGGTGGATTCTTAATCAGTGGACCATCAGGGAAGTTCCAGGCTCTTCATTTTTAGTATGCCATGACCAGTATCCAGTAACCTTTTGGACAAAACAGTGATGAGTTCTGATGCGGGAAAGCAGCATGTTCTATAAAAGGACTTAAAAAAAAAAAACCCTCTTTGAAGCAGAATGAGATTTTTTTTGAGCTTATTTCTAAAGTCTTTCTTTACACATACATCATCAAGAGGGAGTTTGTCCATTTTATCCTCTTCAGTGTTCTTTGATGCATAGTTACATGAAGCACTGGACTTTTTTTGCCTTAGTTCTGCCTTAAAGGCAAATAATACAGGTTCATCTGGATGGAGGGTGAATGGTGGGGTGGGAGTATCCCCTCTGAGCTACCAAGTTTCGCTGAGTTATCTCAGGTTTTCGGCACCTCTGTGGTTAGTGAAAGGGTGAACGAAGATGGTTTTTCCCCTGAAAGACCCTCACACAGTAGCAGCCAACATAACTTTCTGGTAACAGAAGGTGGGCCTTGAAAGCCCTGCTCTGAAGAAAGCAAAGAGGAGCACGGTCCTAGGGGAAAGCTACATTCTTATTTAGTCATGGTGTTGTATAACTAACCAAGAAACTCTGATCGTCTCTGGGGCAGAGAGGTGTGGGGTGGAGAGAAGGATGAGACAGGTTTAAGCCAGTTCTCACTAAACACAGCTGTTGTGTTCTCAGTTCTTTGTATCTGGTGTTTGATTAGTGAAACCACAGTGGTAATCATTTGGGCTTTTAATTCCTGTACCTTTTCTAGATTGTTTGATAGCTTTCCATGGAATTTTTCCTTAGCTACACTTACTAGAATTTTTGTATATTTTCACCTATTCATAGCTGCTAAAAAGGAAAATAAGCTAGTAAAGATATTTTATAATATATAATAGTAATCTACAGGACTGACTCCAAGACAAGTGCTTCCTCATTATCGAGCACTTTAGCTCCAAAAGGTTTTATTGCCTCTCAGACTTTGATTCTCTCATGAGGTTGCGAGTGGCCTTTTTTCAAATGCCCGCTTCTCACATGGGCCTGCTGTTGCCCATCCCCACTAGGCGTGAGGATTCCTGCATCACGCTGGACCTGAGGTTTATTTGAGAAGGAGACCAGAACAGTCGGAGGAACGGAGACTTTGGAGTCTCCCAGATACACATTCAAAGTGCACTGCGAGCAGGCTGGCTGAGTGCGGTAGGAAAAGCACATGTAGCCTTGGATCACCGTTTTGTTTACAGAATTCAGAACCCTTTGCTTAGACAGAAAATCCGATGACTTGAAACGGCGCAGACGTCTCTCACGAGGACTGGGCACAGCCCATTTCTCTGCCGAGCTGAGTGTGAGGGAGGCTTCCAGCACTTGAGCAGGTAGGAAGCAAGACGCTTCCTCCTGCCTTCTCCATGGGAAGCTGGGCCCAGGTCCACAGAGCTATTTTTTTTTCCAGTTGAAAATAGTTAAAACAGGAAAATCAACCAACCAGCATAAGGCCCTTGAAATAACAGTGAAACAGAAAGGGAATGGAAAAGGGTCATGAGTATTCAGATGGGACCCTCTCTAGTTTTCATTAAGAAACCTAAGAAAAATTCAGAAGAGGTTTTTCATTTGTCCTTTAAGAGATTGAAGAAGTCAGACCTGTTATAAAATAAGAAGGAAGCAATGAGGGAGAAAAAAATGTTTAATGATTGTGTTAATCAAGGTTGACCAGAGAACCAGAACCGGTAGGAAGATAAATATTAAGGTTTATTTCAGGGAATGGCTTGCACAGTTGTAGGGACTTAGCTAAGCAAGTCCAAAATTTGGAGGGCGAGAGCAGAAGAGAAGATGGGGGCAAGCTCCAGCCCACCAGTGTGAGCCAAGGCTGTCCTCCTTGGACAGGAGGGGAAGTCCTGCGCTGGATGGACTCCACAGCCACAGGCTGACACCGTCCTCTTCTGGCAGGGTTTCTTCTCTCTCCAGGGGAATCTCAGCTCTGTCTTTAAAGCCTTCCAGCTGGTTCAGTTAGGCCTTCCTAGATTAGCCAGGATAATCTTCCTTATTAAATCAACTGATTAGGCCCTTTAATTACATCTGCAGAAGAGCCATCACAATGAGGGCAAAGATGGAAGGGAGTTGTCTTAAATGATGCAAGGACAACCAGAAAGCCATAGCATAATTAAATTCAGATTGGGGACAAAGGACCCAATTGACATCAGAGGAAATGCAGTTAGTGATCTGAACAACAAAGTTGAGCAGCTCTCACGGTTACAGAGAAAACACAAAGATCGCAAGAGAGAAAAAAGCAGAGCAGAGGCCAATTCTAAATTGTAGATCCTCTGGCTTTTAAACTGAGATGAAAGCAACAAAAGCAATGATGAAAGTGTGTGTTAGGTAAGAAAAATTACTTTTGGAGGAAAACAAGAGAAGGTGCTTCTTGAGCTACAGCATGAGAATGCTTGTGTGATTGATTTTTTTTTACAAAAAGAGATGGGATGGAGTAACAGAGAGGAATTGGTTTCTAGACTCAAGACAGAAGCATCTTCAGATCTTGCTGATTTTTGCTGTGGGCAGTTATTAACCTGTCTTCATCCGCAGAAAGAGGATAACGAGGCCTCATAGGGTTATTGTGAGAATGGAAAGAGTGAATACAAAGCACCTGGCCCAGTGCATGGCATTGAGCAGCCTTCACCAGATATTACTGTTATTACTTGTTGATCACAGAGAGGGGGCGACCTAAAAGCGGACGTGGCACCTGCTTCTAAGGACTGTAGGATGAGATTGGGGTCCTCTAGGTGCTGGAATCAGGGTGCCAGCTTCAAGCAGCTGTATTGCCTTGTTATTGGAACTCTGCCTTTCGAAGGCTGAGCTGACTCAGAGCAAGTGAGGGATGAGGAAGACTGGGGTGCAGAAGAACTGCTTTAAGGAGGTGCTGTCTAGTGAGGCCGGATTAACCAGTCTGTAAAAAATCACGAGCTCCCCGGCAGTGCCTTATTCGCTTTTTTGTATTTGGTAAGGGTGTCAGTGCCTGTGAACAAGTGCAAGGCACAAGTCACGTGGTGATACTTGATCTTTTCTGAAAATTCTTTCCGTCCTTTCTTCTGGCCTGGCCACCTGCTCCGAGTTGTTTATTCACTTTGGCACCCACACGTGCACTGGTTCCTTCCGTAGTGTTGATGTCTTTCCAGCCTTATGCCTCTGCCACCATTTATAAACCATTTAGTGTGCTGAGTTCTGTAAGGACAGTGTAAAATACGGAAGATGGTTTTTGCCTCCCAGGAAACTTACCCCGGCAATAAGGAGACTAGACTAAGACATGTGTGACATTAGAAGACAGTGCAGTTCACGTACAGTTGCAGAGTTGCGATGCATTTATTCTTACCCTACTGCTCTGAACCATCAGGGACTTAAATGTAAGGGGAAGACACTGGGGTCCAAGAATGGTGAGCGTGCCCAGTGGGGTAAGTCGAGGCCTCCGGGAAGCTTTGGAGAAAGAGATGTTAGTGCAGCTGAAGGGACGAAAGCAGGCACAACCCCAGGGCAACATTCCCATTCCGGACTCTGAGTGGTGCTCCCTGGGGTCAGGTAAGCCCAGCCTCCTCATTCCAAGTCAGACGAGGCGCAGTGTTGCCAGCGAACCTGGATTGTGATTGGAGGTCAGGAGGGACAGCGCAGAGAGCGGGGAAGGGCAGGAACTCAATCACTGAACACCCGCTGCAGCCGTCACCTGGCAGGCGTCTCGCCCACCCCTCTGAGCTGTTACTGCGGCCGTGGGAGCGGAGGTGGTGGTACCAGGCTTCAGGGAGGCAGGGAGGGGAGCTCCGAGAGCTGAAACGGGTTGTGTCCAGTCACACGGACGGTAAATGCCAAATGGGAACCCAGGTTTGTCTGATTCCAAAGTCCTTCCTCACTCTGCCACTTTCAGAGTGACTCTGTACCAAGAAGGGCCTTCGCTTCAGGTCAAACAGGTACATATTTTTCCTTCTAAAATTGTTAGCCTATCATCTTGGAGTCGGTTTGTCTTATTATGCCTGAAGATGCATTTCTTTCTTAAACAAACAACAAGAAAAAGCTGCCACTGCCAGCAATTTGATTTGGCCTTCATGTGGGAGAATAAAAAGACCTGTGTGTACTTAACAAGCAGAACCTGTTTTTAGTGTTTAACTAGCCAACTCCTCTCTGGGTGATATTTTTTTTTTAAAGTAATTATACTTCTTGATACACCCATCTAAGCCCCAACAGCTATTCCCCTTGGATCCTGACCCCCGTGTAGCGAGGCTGCATTCACTTCTTAAATTTTTTCTGTCTCCCTCCCTCCCTCCCCTCCCATCTGTGTGCAGTCACCCTTGGCGTCTGCATTAAATCAGAACATGGAAACGGCTCCTCTTTCGTAGGACTGTCTCCTATAGGAGACTTGGCCTCTCACCCTTTTTCTAGCTTTGTTTTGTCTTTGAGAGCTGATTCTACTTGGCCACGATAAAATTGCTCATGCTGTATGTTGGGGCTTAATGGCATGCTCTCAGGGGCTTGGAGGCAGTGGCGTTGATCTGAAACATCCTTTTGTTCTTTTGCTCTGAGTTTTCACGTTCTCCTCCCTATCTTCGTCTTGTCGGCTGTCTGCAGATGGTGGCCCCCGGGAGACGTTGATGCATTTCGCCGTGCGGCTGGGGCTGCTGAGGCTGACGTGGTTCCTACTGCAGAAGCCAGGTGGCCGCGGAGCTCTGAGCATCCACAACCAGGAAGGAGCGACACCTGTGAGCCTGGCCTTGGAGCGGGGCTATCACAAGCTGCACCGGCTCCTGACCGAGTAAGTGCGCCGCCTCCCTTTCCTCCTTCTGGGCCCCGGCCCCGCCCCCGGTTCACAGTGACCCCGCCCACCTGGCATCTCCAGCCTTCTCTGGGAACTAAGCCCTCAGCTGTGAGCCTTGCCTTGGGCTGGAGGTCCGTAAGCTTGCTCCTGCTCAGCCCTTCACTGTCTGAGAGGAACGCGCACGTAAGTCACCTTCCCTTTTCTCCCCTTTCCTCAGCTTTCTCTGCCCTCACTGTTTCTTGCCTCTTAAATTTACTGAAAACTCAGAATAAGTCTGGTCTGTAGGGCTAGCACTCTATAACCAGGGTATCCAGTTTTCCCCAACTTAGTCCAAGAGGGGACAGTTTTTCTGTGCCATGTACTTTTTTCCCTGATATGTCTTTAAGACTTGAAAGAGTTAACCCGAAACAAATACTTTTAATAATTGCATATAGAAAGTATGCTGAACCACTAAGTTTTGGTTTGAATGTGATTTCTGTAAGTAAAATTGAGAGCAGTGGTCCCTTCCTGCGAGGAGCAGCAAGAACCGCCGAGTTGTCCTGGAAACGTGCTGTCGGAAGTCCTGTCCGTGTGTGTGTGGGTCCGGTTGTTACACATTTCTGACTCTTCAGAGAGTGCTTGGAAGGAAGGCAGTTCGTCAAAACATTCAATGAGTTCTTCCTTTTCCTTGAGTAAATAGAAAAATAAATGCTTTAGGACAGCCAACACTTTTTTTTTAAACTTCTTATTTTGTATTGGGATATCACACAAAAACAGCTGTGATAGTTTCCGATGAGCAGTGGAGGGACTCAGCCGTCCATATACATGTATCCATTCTACCCAGCCAGTACTTTTCTTTGGAGTATTTATAAAAAAACAGGAAATATCAACTATAATTTCTCTTATTTAATGTATTTTTTACTGCTTTATGATTATCACCATCTTTTCCACCGCAAGAGCAAGAATCAATCCCATTGGATCTGTGTTCTTTAGCATTGGAGGGACCCTTGTAAATTAAGTGAGTCTTTACAAATTCTCAGGTATTTTACCCATATTAGGTTCGATTTAGTTGCCTTTTATTTTTTACTATTCTAAAATGTGTGTGTGTGGTGGGGGGGGTGGGTAGTCTGGAAGGGCCCAGAAGAGATCTCAATGTAATGTAACTTTGTTATACAAAGGGGGGTGGGGAGCTATTTGTTTTCCTTTACCTGCCCATGGTTATAATGTCCCCAGTCAACTCCAAACAGGAGGTTTCTTGCAGAAAGCTTTCTGATGGGTGCCTCTGGTCCAGTGACAGCGGGAGGGGGCACACCTCATGTCAGATGAGCTGTGGATATTTGAGCTCTCCCAGGACCGTATTCCAGAGGGCAACGCATTCCGTTCCCTCGCACTTACCATCTGGCCAGAGACTGGATTCCTTCTGCTTGTCTGCCTCCGGAAGACAGGCCTCGTCCCAGAAGTTGAGACCATCAGCTCCATATTACTGCCATGAAGTTCAAGTGCAGTTTTCTCCAGATTCAGTCTTAGAGTGCAGAGGTTTTTCTGGGAAGCAGAGTTGGTTACGGATTGCCATCCAGATGGGGAAATAGATGATTACAACAGCTTCTTTATATGCCGGGAGAGGATGTCACAAGACCGTTCTTGCAGCACAGCTTTAAGGAAACTAGAGTGTGTGTTTTTGGAGAGACTTTGCTTTGCCTTATCCTGCCACCTCTGTTACATGTGAGAGAGCTGCTTGGATCCTTTCGAAAGAGAGTAGGTAAAGGAAAGCCCACTTGAGAAGTTTCGGCCACAGTAGGGCCACAGTAGGGCAGTGGGAGCACCCACTACAGATCTAACTCTGAACTGAGATTCTTCTGGCTGTTACTGTTCTGCAGCCTAGAAAAAGTGCCAAGTCCTAATTGTTGTTCAGTCACTGAGTCATGTCCCACTCTTTGCAACCCATGGACTGCAGCACACCAGGCTTCCCTGTCCTTCACTGTCTCCCAGAGTTTGCTCAAATTCATGTCCATTGAGTCAGTGATGCTATCCAAGCATCTCGTCCTCTGTTGCTCCCTTCTTCTTTGGCCTTCAATCTTTCCCAGCATCAGAGTCTTTTTCCAGTGAGTCAGCTCTTCACAGCAGGTGGCCACAGTATTGGAGCTTCAGCATCTGTCCTTCCAGTGGACATTAAGGATTGACTTCCTTTAGGATTGACTGATCTCCTTGCAGTCCCAGGGACTCTCAAGACTATTAAGAGTCATAATTAGCAATTTAAGAAATGATCAGGAGGTGATTTTACTAAATCCCTCACTCTTCCTGTGATGTCAGTAGACTCTTCTAGAATTTCCACCATAGAGAGTCAGGAGAGATGAGATTATCTTTGACAGATGAGGAAGCTGGGATCCAGAGTGGCAGAGTGAGGGGACAAGAGGGACAAGGTGGCCGAGCTAGAAACAGAAGCCGCATCTCCTGCGAGGCTGGCCAGAGTGGCCAGGCTCCCCGCAGAGATTCGGAGAACCCAGGAGGAGACTTCCTGGGATCCACAGCCTTTGCAATTAACAGAAGTTTATGCATGTGTGTTTCTGAATAAAGAGTTCATCTTGTGAAATTCACAGTGAGATTTGTGGGAAGTTAAGAATTGCTGCACTGTGGATGGTTATCTTTCTTAGTAGTTGACTAAAATCTTTAGACTTGGGTATGCTTACTCCTTCTCCCTTTCAAATTGTAAATTCTCATGTTGGCCTCTTACCTTCCCATTTCAGTTAGTATGAAATTTAAGTATCGTTTGTATCCATTTTACATTAATTGTAGCTGTTTACAGTTAAGCCTTAGCTGAAACATCAAGTTTATTTCAGTCCTTTTATATGTCTCCCAAGATAAGTCTGTTGTTTTGATTCTTTGCTGCTTATACCGAGTGTTTTGAGTGGGGAACAAAGGGTGCCGTGCTGATACGGGTCCAAGTTCCATTCTACGTTTGTGTCCCTAAGGCTTATTTCCATAGTCTGTTTTGATCGACTGAGTCATCTCTATGTGAAATGTGCTTCGGGTTAAAAACTTTCTCTTAAGTAAGACTCATGTCTATAGGGAACCTCCGTTTAGGGCAGTTTGGGGAGTTCCCTTTTCTGTAACCTGTAGCTGTTAATTTTCACTTTGTTCAGTGACAGGGAAGAGAGAGATTTTGTTGACTTACAGCTCTTTTGCTTTAGTTTTTATTTTGACTAGGGCTTCTCAGGTGGCTCGGTTGTGAAGAACCTGCCTGCCAATACAGGAGATGTGGGTTCAGTCCCTGGGTTGGGAAGATCCCCTGGAATAGGAAATGGCACCACTCCAGTATTGCCTGGAAAACTCCATGGACAGAGGAGCCCGGTGGGCTATGGTCCATGAGGTCACAAGGGTTGGACACAACTAAGCACAGACCTTGATATTTTGATGTCCATTTTGAATATGGATGCATTTGTAATCTGAAAATTCACCTTAAGTAAAACGTTACCAGTTTTGCCTGAGAAATCTTACTCCCTGCACATCTGCACCTCCTTCTTTTAGGTGGATGCACAGTTACCTCCCATGTTTTGAGGAGCTAGTTGCACACGCTGCTCAAGGTCCCTCGGTGATGGGGGCAGAGCAGGGAGACAACCCAGGTCCTCGGGCTCTTAGGTTAGATTGCTCAGGAATGACAGCATTGGAGAAGTGCTGCATTGGCATTGTCTGACAGGAGAATGTTAGAACTGGGAGCTACCTGATGTCTTGTTCACTTAATGACAAATCAGGAACCTTAGGACCTGAGTCACTCATTAGAGCTGAGACCCAGAGGCAATTCATGGTAAAGGCAAAGCATGCAAACTTTGGGGTCAAATCTAAGCTTGTGTTTTGACTCTGCCATTTTTAGCTGTATTAGTTTGGACACATGAAGTAACTTTTCCTCTCTGAGCTTCAGTAATATCTACTTTCTAGAATAATGACTAAGGGTTGGGCATGTACAGTGTGAAAAAAATCAGGGTTTATTGATCCCACAGTTTATGGCCGTTTTTTGGAACACACAAAGGGGCTATAAATATGTTTCAGCTACAAGAGAGACAGTATAGTATGGTGGAATTGCTTAGGGATGAAAAACTTAATATCTAAGTTTCCCCAGTTAGTAGCATGAGTGACTCAGAAAAAGTCACTTTCCCACTTGAGTCTCATGTTTCTCATCACTTAAGGATAATATCTCGTCTTCCACACCATAGGTTTTTAGAACCCAGTGAGATTTGTGCAGATGCCTTATTAAAGTCAAAGGGACTCTGTATGAAAGTGTCCTATGTAGTCATAAAATCACTGAAATGATTTTCACTGGTCAGTGAAGGTCACCTTCCCTTCCTGTCCCCCGTTGATTGGTCTGCCTACACTGTCCTTTTTGTAATGTTAATTATAGTTGTCTGTGAAGTACAGTCAGTAGAAAGGTCAGGAGAGTTGTAATGGAGCAGTCCGGTTTTGAGTCCAGGGTCTGCCTGTGTAGAGCTATAACTGCGTGATGTTGGGTGATCCGCTCATGTAAAGCCTTAGTGCCTTGTTTATAACATGGCAAGAGTAAGGGGCCGTCTTCAGGGAGTCGCTTTGAGAGAAGAGTGCGTAGCATTTCAGGGAGAGAGGGGCACAGCCCAGTGGCTGACATAGATGTCATCTACCCTTTTCTTATTTTTCCTTTCCTTCCTTCGTTGTCCTTTTCTTCATATATTAAGAAAAACATGGCCAAAATGTTGGAAGTCTTTGCAGGCAGCGTTTGAACATTGCTATTTGATAAGAGTTTGAGATTATTTCGCAGTGTAGCAGGTAACACTAAAAAATTAGTGTAGCTCTCATACGCACACTGATGTCGGTGCCTCTGGGTTGTTGGAACTAGACTGGTAAGGAATCATTTACAGTGCTCTCACCCTTACAGGAAGAATATTTCTTTGAGGCATTTCCACTCCCCGGTGTTGACATAAAGGTGCCGAAATATTTTATTTGCCCAAAGAATGAGTTTGGAAGTATTTGTCCTAACAGTACTTCACCTCATT